CAGATGCGAGGCCTCCATTGTACACACAGCTGCCCACCACCTGCACCATCCATCAGGCAGCAGTGGTGCGGGTGGCTGGCCTGGGAGAATGCTGCTGCCATGGCCCTGAGCACACACCCAGCACACACCCAGCACTGGCCACTTTGGATGGCAGAACAAGACCGACCTCCCTGAGCTGCATCCCACAGGAACCCACCCAGCGCCCACTGGGTGTCAGGGGCTCCTGGGGGCTCTCATGGCCTCGTGCCCCCCATATCTGCCAGGCACCGCGCCTGAGGGCGCATGTCTGCCAGCATTCAGCATGGCCTTGTTGGCACTGTGATGGCAGTTGGGGAAGCTCTCCAAATGTCAGCTTTCCATCCTGCCCCATTATTGCCACCTGTGGTGGTGCGGATGAAGACCGCAGGGTGAATCCCCTGCACTGCGGGCAGCCCCACTCTGTATCACACCGGAGGCGTTTCCCGGCCGGAGCCATGCCTCGCTGCTTCCCCGGTGCGCATCTCTGCTCTTTAAATTGATTGGCACTTTCTATTTGAGGAAAAATGAGTTCTTAAAATTGAAATACTGCTTATTGTTATGGTAATACACCAAGGCTGCGGCAGGAGAGACTTTAAGATACAAGAAAGGTTCGTTCCAATGAAGGCTCTGATAGGCTCATCTGTACGAAGTGCTCGGGACTAATGAGTTCAAAGGTGCTACGGATTGGGTCTGGCCCCCTTAATGCTGCTGATTCCAGTGTAGGTGCAGGTAATAAGCAAGGTAACCCGAGGCCTCCGGGATCGTTAGTGCTTTATCACATTTTGTATAAAAGATTTTCGGCCTCATTTAGGATGTCAGCCTCTATCAGACGTTTCGCGCAGTAACGCAGCGCACGCTGCAGGTGGAGGGCGATGCGCCCCGCGGGTGTGGGGCTGCCACCCAGGCACAGCACGGCAGTGACACAGACCCTCCCACCCATCCTCGGCACGGGGCTCTGCTTCCTCACCACCCCTCCTGAAATTAGCGACTTCGAGCCCATACCTTTATTTGGAAAATAACCGTACACAGAATTATAAAAGTTTAATATGCTCTCGGTAAAATGAAAAATGAGTGGTTATGATATTGTCTAACACTTTCAAATGTGTTTATTAATTCATGTTTTAAATCATAAGTTTCATTCTGCAGGAGAGCCATACACAGCAATAAGCAAGTTTTAAAATATTAATGAATAAACAATATTTCTCTATTGAAACATAACATGCTTCTTTGAACAATGTACCACCAGTAATAAATCACAACCAGCAGAAATTGCATTTCATATTTAATACAACTTGAACTCTGCCTTTTTATAAATGATATCTTTTTTGTTTAATTGGCGTCAGCTCAGATCTAGCAGATTGCAATAAAATTTTGGATTTCTGCGTTTAATGGTGCGTGCTCTTTACACTGAATTTTACCACCCAAAACGCAGCCCTTTATTATCCCAATAGATGGCATTAATGGGTGACCCCGCACTGCATGGAGTGGCCCAAAGCTCTTCTGGGCTCTGGGCAGGCAAAGGCAGGGGGACATTCCAGGCAGGGCACTCCCAGGTACCCCTGTGAGGGCTCTGCCCCCCAAGGACACGGCCCCATGTGCCCCAGGGTGCTCCTGCACCCACACCCACATTAGTTGCTGCAGATATGAATGAAATTAATTGGTTTTAATTAGCCCCTGTAAACAAGATTCTTAGATTTGTTGCCACATGAGGGTTTTGGCAGTCTCCAATAAATTAATCCTTTTTGTTATATCAGTGACAGGAAGATGATCAAATGGGCTTTGATATAGATTTGGGGAGTTATCACCTAGCCGCGCTCTGATGTGCCCGCCCTCATTCCGCACTGCTGCTGGAAGCAAAGACCGCTGCCACGGCAGTGCTGCAGAGCTGCAGAGCCCAATTCAGAGCTGGGGTTCTGGCAGTACATGGGAGGGCAGCCCGGGGGGATCCTGGAGGAGAAGTTCATCTTTGGCATTGGTTGCAGAAGGAGAACTTTCAGTGAGTGGGGTTATGCCGGCAGAGATGTAGGGCTCAGCCCGTGTCGTTCTCTCCAGGGGACTGGATGGGAATTCTAATCGTATATTATATTACCATGTCATATTAGACTAATAAAACCCTAATATGATACAGGAATGGGGAGCATATCATAACTCCTCTGTGGCTAATACAATGCATGTAATAAATCACTCCCAGGGCTTATCCTTAACAATTGTATCAGCTCTTTCTGTGTCACGCTGATAACTCAGTCCCTCCAATCTAATGGTTCACTTTTCTTCACAGTCCATATGGCAGTGACATTAAAGCTAATGAAACAAAATAAAATTTGCCAATCTTCAAAGAATTCCATTCTTTAAAAAGATGTATTTTATTAACACAAACTGGAAATGTCTTCAGTTTTTTTATCACATTGAAAATACATGGCACAGATACTGGCACCAGTATCTGACATCCAACTCCTGTGCAGCCCTTGCAGAAGGCACAGCCCCAAGTAGCACAAGCTGCCCGGTCCCATCACTCTGTGCTCCTCCGTGCCAGAGGGCTTCTGTGTCCTCAAGGCCTCTCGTCCTGCACAGAGCATCCTCCACTGCGTCTGAGGCACTGGGAGCTGTTGCAGCGCAGGGGCAGATCGTCCATCCGCTGCCTGCCGTGCTGTGCTGCCCTGTGCCACTGCCCCACATGGAGTGTGTAGGGTGGGAGTGGGGATGGGGCCTGGCACAGCCTTGTACAGGGAGCACAGGGCCAGGACCGGGGTGCTGGGAGCTGCTGCAAGACCCAGCCAGTGCCGCTGTGCTCTGTGAGCCCGACAGGCACTCTGAGCAGATGGAAGGACGGCCACGGCCACGGGGATAGCGGCTGTGCCCCTCTGCCACCTCCAAACCAGTGGCACAGGGCTCCCGCAGCTCCTGGTGATGCTTGCACACCAACAGCTTGTGGTGACACTTGCACAGCCCAGCAGCTCGCAGTGCTGCTGGAGGGCTCCGACGGCCCCGCCAAGCGTCTCTGCTGGGCGGAACACGGCGCTGATCCCAACACTGGTACTGGCAGTAAACCTCTCTGATGTGTAATCAAGCCTCAAGGATACAATGTTTATTATTGGCCATGTAACCATGTGGCTGTTATCCAACGCAAGGAAAGGCCAAATTGCACTTGTAATTCAGAGGGACCCAGAGCCTTAATGCTGTAAAGCAGCACGCTAATGATGCCCAGCAGGCGCGGGGCACGTGAGCGTGGCCCAAAGGTTGTTGATGGCCTTCCTATGAACCTCCTCTGTGCATGACAGGTCCTTGCCTGTGGCCAGCGGAGATGTGATCAAGATGAGGGACGTCTGCGTGTTCATTATGTTGCCTCTGCCTCCACTGACACACTTTACATTTAAAACACTGTTTCCATTGAGCTGGAGCATAAACCAAGAGCGTGTGGGCTCAGGGAGCTCCAGCAGCAAGCACAGGGCGCTCTGTTGTGCATCATCCACACGCAGAAGTCTCCAGAAGTCCAGAGTCCCCGCTCAGCCCTCTTTCATCATCGGCAGCGAAGCTGTGCAGTGCCTCTAGCTATTTACATGTTGATCTAAATGCACCACCTGTAGTGAAAGAAGCGACATTCAGTTCTAAAACTGAACGAGAAGATGTGTGTGCTCAGCAAACAAAGGCAGAAGAGCAAGAGGGGCTCATGGGACACAGAGGGAGGCAAGTGTGGCACTGGGGAGAGAGAGGGTGAGCGAAGGGACTTCACAGAATAACCCAGTCCAAGAACTGTTGATAAGAAAAGCTGACCCACAAGCCAACTGAATCATGCAAATAATCATTTCGCCACCAAAACAACACCTAGAGTCTGCAGCAGAAGCTGGGGAGGAAGCACGACGAGCGCAGCGGGGACGGGCAGCCCTCCTTCTGCTGCTACAAAAGGAGTAAGGAGTTCTATCTATCAGAGACCATTTGCTGCAAGTGATTAACGTTAATTTGATTTCCTGTGAGTCAATTTCCTTGAGATATGGTAAATAGGCTATTACCTGTTATTGACCTTTACTTTATTAAAAAGACTTAAAATTAGCATTTATATATATATGCCCTTCCAAAAAAGTTTTTTTAATAAAGAAAAATATTTTTATAATCATATTACACTTGCTAGCTGAGGTTGTAGTTTCAAAGTCAATGTTAAATAAAGCAGTAATTAAGAGTGAATGCGATGGCGGTCTTTAAGAGCATCTCCAGGACCGCCCCTCTCCGCAGCCCCCTCTCTGCTCCACACAGCACAGCACAGCACACAGGTGGAGGTCGGGGCTCTGAGCCCCAGCTCAGCTCACTGCCACAGGGCTCCTCCTGAGCACCGCTCTGCCCGTCCTGAGCCAAGAGCTGAACTGAGAGCTGAACTCCTGCAACAGCAGCTGCACCTCTGCAGTTCACTCTGCTTAGGTCTGACTTAAACTGAGCTGGAAGAAATTACATCAAAATTTGATCATGAAAGCAAAAAGTTTATTCATGTTTGAAACTACATATAACTACCACGAGGAAGACTTCTCAATCCAGGGTGTAATCCAGTTAGAAAGTAACACGAAACGTTTTAATACATTAGAATCACTGCCACAAATTATTTTCATGACTCAATCAGTTTCAGAATCGCATACAATACAAAAGAGAGAAAGAAAGGGCCCCCTGTTACACAGGGTGAATATACAGTACTGATACTGAAGTCTGTATGCATTACAATTAGTCGTATTTTTTGCGTGGATTAGTAACAAGATGAAGAACATTCAAAATGTTTCTCAGTATTTACAACAGTTTCACTGTTCTGTTAAACCTAAGACCCAATGTTTCCAATTCAGCTCTTTTAAAAGTTGCAAACGCAACCCTGATTCTTTTAAAAGATTACAATGTACATTACAATTTATGAGGGAAACAAAGAGTTAGTTACAAGATGCAAAAAGATAAGAAAGAGACAAACTACAGCGTGAGTATCGTTCAGAGGTAGTAAGTGAGCACTCTAAGCTACAGAACATGTTGAAAGTCTATTGGTTCGTATGAGTTCGCATGAGGTAATAAAGCTGTGTTTTGATTGGTGAGATGTATAAATACTCTTTTGCTACACTATGTACAACAATCCATATAACGGTGCTTTTTCCTTCGCTTTTCCTTTCTGTTTTTTGTTTGTTTGGCTGCCCAGAAGAAGTAACCAATCTCGGCAGCCGCACAGCACCTACTCACACTGTAAAACCCAGCTGGTGGCTCACTGAAAGAAGCAGCAATATCTTCACCTCTTAAGAACACTCTGAGTCCATTGCCGAAATACAGAGAGCAGGCGGGGGTCCTGGCGGTTAGCAAGGAAAGATGCTCCTGGTATCCAACCTAACTTATAAAGCAATAGATCACAACAAAAATGTGACGAATAAGGATTCTTAAACACAACCGTTGTTAACTGAAATAACCAAACAGATCTCTTTATTCCAACTCTATAAGAGAGATGAAAAGGTTAAACACAATCCAAGTCTGTAACTCGTTTTGACTTCCCGCGAAAATATGCACGCAGTTAAGATTCAGGTGAGGTGTTCCTTTGTGCCCGTTCTTGCTATTGAGGTTAAGCTTGTACTGTACTTTTACCCTTAAGGCCAAGTAATTGGCAACTGTTAGACCGACACTGTTAAAATCGCCGATAATAAATTATGATAAAATAGTTACAGGGCTATAAACAATGCTAAATCTTGGCCCAATTGGATAAAGTGCTTTTTAACATTGTGTGTTTTAAGTATAAATACAAATGATTATGATACCTTTAAAAAACAGATTTACCAAGTTTTCTAGTAAGACAAGGTTTTACAGTAAAGCTGTAGGTGGTTGGCTACAAAAAAATTCTTTCCTTTTTCTCCTGCGACTCTGAATGCGCTGATCAAGGCATCTCAGCTCAGGGAAAAAGTGTTGCTAGGAGATTAGTTAGAGGTATCAGAGTGCACACTTCCCGGCCCTTCTGTAGGGGAAGTCACAGAAGATGGAGTAGTTGCATCCTGCCAGCCTCCATTAGCCTGAAAAGGGAAAAACAATTCAATTGATGCAATTATGCATATTAATTATATAGTGCACTGAAAGTAACACAGTGGCGAGGCCAGAGCTGGGGGGAGATGCTCCGGGAAAGAGCTCATCCTAAACTCCCTCTGGTTGCAGAATTTGTGAGGAGAAAACCACACGTGCTGTGCGTGAGGTGCTTTGATGAGAGCAGTGTCCTACAGCGGGTGTCCTACAGCCAGGTGCTGACCACAACAGCAATGCTGGGATTTCTGCATCTCCATTCTCACTCTTCATGAAGAGCATCCCTTCAGCCGATGCTTCAGGTTATTTTTCCTGAGAAAATGGCTCTGGGGCAGCAATACTTAATGCATCTCTCCTCTCAGCTCCAGAGCTGGAAGTTGCCTTTCTCCACGCTGGAATCCGGGTCCGTCTGAGCCTACAGAGCAGCGCAGGCAGGGGCAGGAAGGGGCCCTCGATCCCTCTGCCAATTACGCGCAGTGCAGCCCCACACTGCTGCCGCTCCGTGCTCCCGCTCGCCGCCGGCCCTCCCCGCATTAGACCTGCATCAGCAATAGCAGTGCTCAGAAACAAATTTGCCTTATGTCTCGGCCCATAGCGGCAATTGCTGAAATCAATGTCTGATCAGATTTCTGCTGTGGCAGACAGCTTGTCGCTACATATTTTGGTGTCAGTCAGGAGGAGGGCGGCACGGTGCTCGTGAGTGGGGGGAGGCTGAGTGGAAGTGACGGGGCAGCTGCCCCCCCGGCACCCCGCAGCCTTCGCGAGGCCGCTCCGCCTGGCTGGGCCCAGGGGCTGCCCTGTGCCAACGCTGGGCCCCGGACCGCCCTGCAGCACCGCTCGGCACCGCCTGCTAATTGTCTGCCGCATGGATGAAAAACAGCAAACAGAGAAGCCCTTATCGTGACAAATTCTAAGGTTTGAGTTTGTGCTCCCTTAAGTAAAATTAATGGCAATACCGACCTGCAATCACATTAAGGCTGAAGCTTCACCACATGGTTTAAGATGCTCAGCTGCTCAGACACGGGCTGGCAATGCACAAAGCGTGCAATGGCACCTCTGCTTTTTTTTTTTTATTTTATTTTTTAAGGATATGAAAATCTACTTAGAGAAAGAAAAACTCTTGTGCAGATATGAGTCTAAAGATATTCCATCTGAAGTAAACATCATTCCTCTTTTATCCAAATTTATAAACAACAAATGTACAATATTTTTACTCAGCTTGGCAGCTGGAGGAGAGGTTGTCAGCAAGCATTCTTTTTTTCAAATAAATTAATCCTTACTCTGGTGGTTTGAGATTATGCACTGTATTATACAACAGCGCCTTATCAGGCCTCATCAGTGAAGATGGAATTCATGTCTGTAAAATGCTGCAGGCAATCACAGTTTCATATTTTATCATGTTGATAAGGATATCGCAAATTCTCTGAAGCATTTCAAAACACTTAAATGAAAAAGGAGAAATGCAACTAAAAGGCTTTTTATATGGTTTGTTGTGGGTTATTATGAGTTATTTATAAACCCAAAAAGAAAGATTTGACATTTCAAATGTAAAAGATTTCAGTATTTAATGGTACTTTTTTCCCTTTACAATTGAACATCTTCAATCACATTTTAAATCATTAATATTTACTCTCGTGGCAAGTGGAAACCCTCAAAGAGGAAAAGCTCACATCCCCGTGGCTGAGCCTTTCCCAGAGATGCTCCACACACCGCCCTGAGCTGCAGCACCGCGGGCATCGATACAGCAGTGTGCGGTGGGCACAGAGCTGCCCTGGGGTGGAGAAGCACTGCCTGGACAGCACTCTCTCTGGGGTCATTTTAAACTTTGTGAATAAAAAGGAAAACAAATGAAGGCCGCCTGGTAAGCAAATACGAAGCATTTAGTAAAACAAAGCATTCATTTTTAAAGCAGCAAATGAGAAGAGGAAGTTGAATGTGAGAGCTGAATACAATGCAGTGGAGCCTTCACCACAGAGCCTGCTGCCCTGGGATGTGTTTCATCCCGGGCTCTCATGCAGCAGAACAGCTCCTGGCCTTCAGCTATCCTGGTGCCTGCATGCGGCCAACCGATCCCAGCAGCCACAGTGAGGGCTGGGACTGACAGCACCCAGCTTAACCCAGTCTAACATCCCTCAATTCACTAGCACCTCTTTGCCAGACTTACTACCCTCGTTCAAGTAACAAGGCCAAAATTACTTCTCAAACACAGGAAAAATGTGCACCCTTGAAATGGCTAAAAGTATATCAAAAGAGCAGTCCTGATGTCTGATTGCAGGCAGTGACAAATACAAGCACGGTTATCTGACCATCTCTGCAAAAAACAAGAGCCTCCCTCCAAGGCTATTACTTTTTAACTCATAAGGCTGAAAAACATAAAAATTCAAATTGTTTATAGTAATGGCTCTAGGAATTTTCTCCCTTCCTACATGACCAAGACTCATAGCCATACCAAGGGCCATTTTGCAGTTCATCTCCAATGATGCAATGTTAAAATATGCTATCGCAAGAGAAATTAATACGTGTGTTAATGACTGCATTTACCCGCCACCGTGCTTATGGCTCTCCAAACTACTCTTCCCCTGGGTACTCACATTTAAATTATGTGGACTGTACAGTGAATTTCCTCCCAAGCCATCATTGTATCCTCCCGTCTGATTGATAACATGACGCAGGGTATCCACCTTAAAGTAAGAGGAAACAAAATTCATCATTCCAAATCTATTAACACATCATCACTTACAATAGGCAACATTTTGAATTATGTGAGCCAAAAGGGTTTAGCATCTTCTATGAAAGACAAATTTATCAATCAAGAATGACTGGCAGAATTTCAACAAATCCCTGCATGTTAAAAGCCATACATCTCTGCTTCTCACACCAGCCAAACAATAACTTCCTCACAGCAGTGCATCCCGCAGGTCCTTCTTAAGTGTCTGCAGCAAAGCGCTGTGCATATTCATATGTTTGGATGTACTTGCATGTATGGGAAAAGATTATGGAACATATAAAGCCCTGTGTGAAAGGACTGGAAAAGGGACTGAGAACAGCTTGTAATTTAATAACTCAGTTAGATGTGTTCTGACATTCAAACAAATACAGAAATAAAGGTTTGTCTAATAAATGAAACAGAGACATTAAAAGGAAAAAAAAAAAAGAAAAAAAAAAAAGAAGGGAAAAAAAAGAAAAAAAGAAAAGGAAAAAAGAAAATTCACTGGATTTACAGCGTCCATGGAAGTCAGATGCACCCAATCCCATTCCATGAGCTCAAGCCAGAGCCGAATGCATTCACAAAGCTTCAAGTTTCAATCAGAAAAAAATCACTCTTTCCTTCGTATTTGTGAAATTCAATGCCGGGGTAAGAATAGGTCACGTTCAGAAATATGCAGCCTCCACTCTGCAGCGAGGCACAGACCATTTAATAGAGCCAGAGTAAGGTGGAATTTTTAGCCCAAACCCTACCCTGCTAGAAAGGCCCTACTGTGGGGCATTTCTCCTACCTGTGACTGCACATTGGCTCCGACTTGGGACCCCTGGTAAGAATCCCCATTCAGACTCTGCATGTTCATGAACATGTCCCCAGAATTTGGGAGGTTAAAAGAACCAGAAGAACCTGGAAAGGAAAGAGTTAAGTAGCTGAATAACAGAGAGCTACAAATATATAACCCCAAAGACCTCAGGGCAGGGGAAGGAGAAGAAGAAAGGAAACAAGAAGGAAAGGCAGTGCCCAACAGAAACCACGCTCCTGACCCACAGCAGGGCAAGGCCGGCCTGGCAGAACGCCTGTGCAGCGTGGGGACCTGCACTGCTGCTCCCCACGGCGCTGAGCGGTGCGCAGCAAAACCACACCAGGGAAACAGGGACACCATCAGAGCCCAGGACTGCTGGAGAGCACTGCACATACAGCACATGTCAGTGCCAGGTGCCTTCCCCTGGTGGATCACCTCATCCTGAAATGCTATTGCTAAACACTCTAAAAAACTGATTTTGAACCTGTGTTTAATATTTCCTTCAAACAGAAATGCCTGGTAATTTCTAATTAGCTGATCTACTATCGACAGAGGAGGAACCTTTCTCTTCCTTTCCTTTGATTAAAGGCTTTTTTTTTTCCCCCCATGGATCTTTACACCCTTAAAAAGTTGTCTACAACTATGCCGTGGCAAAACTTCACTGTAAATAGTGCCAAACTTTGCAGAAACCCTTGCCTCCAGAGCCCCAAAGCGATTTCCTCTTTAGATGCTCCCTCTGCTAACTTAATGCTTAGATTTGCAAAATGTCAACAGCGCACTAGTGAGACAGTTGTTAAACACTATAAAAGAACATGTGGTTAGACTCTGGAATAAAAGCTGTGTTCCTAGATTTTTATATATAATATTAACCCGTTGTCAAGCAACCCAGAGTACAAATTTGAATTAGTGCACACTAAAATATCCCTGTGTTTTGTTCTTATGTTCTTATCTAGACAATAAATACAGCAGTTCTACAAACACAGGCTTGAGAGTTCTGCCTCCCTTTATTTTCTGTTACTTTCATGGAATCAGAAAACAAAGTATTGACAGAAGCAAAGATGCTGCCAGCAGTGAGAGTGAGGCAGACCCGTGGTGCGAGCTGCAGCTCAGTCCCCTCAGCCCACGAGGCCGACCCCACTCCCCAGGCAGTGCTGCCAGGGAGCTGCTCAGCCCTGCCGAGCTCACTGCGGGCTGCCCCAACACGCGTGGGTACGCACCAGAGTTCGGCGTGGTGGGGGAGTTGGTCTGGTTGTTCTGGACGGCCGCGGCCACGGCGTGCGCTGCAGTCACAGCCGTCTTCGCTGCGTAAAGATTGGCTTCTTCCTGGAACTTCCCAATGTTCTTCTTGTACCTGATTCTCTTATTGCCAAACCAGTTGGAGACCTGTGTTGGAGAGAAGAGGGGCAGAGTGAAGGACACAAAGCATCTGACTCAACAAAGCAATTCAAAACATTGTGCTGGATCCAGTTAACCCCAGCGCCCCAATCCCAGCAGGAACCCTGGCACCAATCATGGATCAGTTAAACATGAGTATGGGTATGTGTCTGATCTGGTTCTGCTTGTCCGTGGGCAAACCGCTGCCCAAGTGGTGACAACACGTATCCTGGAGCTCGCTGTCTTTCATCAGTATCGCCATCCATCCATGAGGGCAGTGCAAAACCGCAGAGCTGCCACAAGGACTGAAGTGCCTGATGGCTGAGCCAGAGCAAACAGCCACAGCTTCACATTGTTCTTTATTTGGGGGCCAGAACAACCTTGGCAGCCTGCACCTAGAGCTGTGTTTGGTCGGCTGGAAATGAAAGGAATCATATAAATCAATAATGGCTGAAAAGTCACTTTGTCATCTCTCTTTGAAGATACTGTACGGGGACCAGGGTGGCTGGCAGGGCGCTGGCCATTAACCCGTGCAGAGGTCACGGCTGGAGCAGTTCAGAAAAGATCCTGCAGTGGTTTCTCAGCGCCTTTGTTTAACTTCAGCACTACAACAATGCTAACAGCCTCAGTTCATAACACAGGCAACAGCCAAAGCTGCCCAGACAAAAAAGCATCTGTAATGAGACAGAGGTATAGGGGAGGGGACTGGTAATAACACAAGTGGTAATTAGTTGTGCCCTGTAGTGAGGGACCAAAGCTCCACATTGCATGGCACATGGTGACACTCAGCTGCTCCCATATCCCACAAGCACCACGGAGCTCTGCAGCTCCTCTGAAAGCCCAGGAGTGCATCGCAGCACCCAGCAAAGCCCACAGGACCTGTGCTTTAGGTAGCTCCAGCTTTTAACACAATTAATGAAAAGCATCCAGCTTTTAACTGTAATTCACAATACACACCTTATACATTCCCTCCCTAGATAGTACTGCATCTACTGTACTGTATTCTGTATATTACACTTAATATTTATCTTGTCAGTCAGAAAAGCAATAATGCATTAATGAAACCTAGCAAATAATTATTGTGGACAATCAGATTATGCTTTATTAACAGTTTCATAATTGAGGAATCTCTGTACATCAACTATTGTCCATGGATGTGCACGAGATCCCTCTGTTTATGCACACCCATGGACCAATCAAACAACAGCCATCACTAATAAAGGTTTATTTAATTCTCACAGTAAAATTTTAATATCACCAGCAGCCTGGGGAAGCCTCATCGAGTGGATTTGCTTGACATCAGATCGTTTCCATTCTGCTAGTCCCAATACTTCTTAATCTTTAATATCAAGGCAATTAAAATTAATGGCCACTCATCCAGAGCCACTGTGGGCAGTGTTTCCTTGACATCAATTGTTTGATGGGATTACCTAGAGGTTAAACTAACAAGCAAGGTTTAATTGGAAGCAATGAGAGGAGCAGCAATCGTACGTTATGTTTAACCCATATACCACATCTAAATGAACATCCAGAAATGTTAAACTATTTCTGAGATCAAAGCACACACTGCACACCCAGGGCTGGACAGAGCCTCCCCAGGATGGACGTCACAGCCCAGCACCCTTTGCTTCCTGGCCACAGGGCTCAGCATTCCTGTGCCTCGCATCCTCCTCTGCACGGCCAGCATGGATGGCAGGACTGGGGCAGGATGAACCACACCACCACAAAGCCCTGCTGGCTCCCTGCAGCCCTCCCTGCCCCTGGTCCCACTGTGTCTTGGCTCTTCACAACACTGCAGGCTCACCCTAAAAATGGAAGTTGTGAGCTGCTTCATGACACACTTTTCATTTAAAAAAAACTATCTATATGTTCACATTAAAAATAAAATAAAATAAAATAAAATATCAACCATCTTTCTACTCCTGATCATTGAAGTCCAATTTGCTACATGGGCTTAACTGTATATTACATTTCAAAAAATACTGTTGGACTTATTTATCACATTAATTGCAATATTTAATGAAAAGACAATAAATTATTACTTAAATAGTCCTGATGCCTAGTGTGGGATTTGGGATGGGACGTGCCTGCCTTTTGTCTCCGCACCGGCTGCGTTCTTGGGATAAATCAGGCCTTGTTCTGCAGAGAACCAGCTGACACAAGAACATCGCTGTTGAAATGAGTAAACTAAATATTTATGGATCACAGAAATCTTTCCATAGTCTTTCCAAGGGTTTGTAGCACTGTTTATATTCTGTACCTAACCGAATGACACAAAACAGAAAAAAACTGAAAATAAGCACAGTACAATCATGGTTCATGTTCTAAAGCTAGCTATTTTACATCTACAAACTATTTATTTAAGCTCATGTCTTTTTTTTCTTGCTTCCCAAATGAAGTCAAGGATAAGAGCCTATAAATCTGCAGCTCTCCATGTCAATGTGCTTACCAAAACAAACAGAGCAGAAGAAGCGGGGCTTGGAGAGATGCTGAAAATCAGCTTTTGCATTCTTTTAAAAAAAGACTTTAAACACGCTCTCTTGTCAACCATATTCTTCTTCTGTTTGAAGCAGTGAAAAATGTTATTGCCGTAATCCACTGACATGCTTTCAGCAGCGACTATGCCCTTTCTATAGCTCATATGATAGACTGATAGTTGTTCATGACACCCTGAAAGAGACTCATCTGCAAAAGTATAAAACATCAGCCTCGCAGCCACAGCACGGAGAGAACAGATGACACAGTTTATCTCCCACAAACACGTGCTGATCGGGTGGTTCTAAATTACAGCCAACAATGTTCTATTAAGGGCATTGTTTTCCCCCAGAATTACCTTTTCCATACTCTTAAAATGAAATTGCATGACGTGTTCATCTCAATAAATAGTTTCTCTTTATGATCTTCTTGAAACAACTTCTCTACACAGTATTTTAAACACCAGGACCAAAACTAAAGCCATCTATCTCCCATCCCCGACTAAATGCTTCCAGGAGACAAATTTCTTCGCAGCTCAGTGAAGTGCCTTAGTAGCAAGGTTTCCAGTCAGCTGCTTAATTGGGGGGGGGGGGGGGGGGAGGCTGATCCAAAATTCTCACTAATTAAGTGTTTGAGGGAGAAAATATTCTGCCATGAATCTGCCCCCAGCATTCTTCAGACACTGACAGTACAAGTTAGTTCTGGATCATTGTTAGGAGAGACTGCACGGGAAGCCCAGCTCAGATAGAAAAAGGAACCAAGTTTCTTCAAACACAAACAGAAACCTCCAGGACTTTCCAAAGCCAACAGTTAGCTTTTTCCCCCCTTCTCATTTCCCAACTCTCTGTACCTCCTGGGCCTCTGTAGCCAAGGAGGCAGCTCAGGCACAGTGCCAGGCAAGGCAACATTGGAGGGACTCCTGGTCAGGACTGGAAATAGATCTGCTTAGAGATTTTTCATAAAAACCCTGTGCAAGGTGTAGCTCAGTCACTCGCTTGGATGCCATCGCTCATCCCAGGTGATGCGACTCCTGCCAGTATTTTAAATGACTGCTCAATTTACGCCTGATTTCTGGATTGCATCCTCTGACTTTTGCTGCCAAGCACCAGGGCAGCATGCACAGTGCTATTTTACAGTGCATGCTTGGAGCTTTTCTGCTAGATGGCCTTAAAAATATATACATTTTTCAGTTCAAAGAAAGACAACTTCAGCCTAGTTTGACCTAGTAAATATTAACTAATCCTGCAGCCTTGCCATATGGCCTTTGGAAACACCTCAGAAAAATCAAAGAGCAGGATAACTACAGCATTCACATTTTCTAGTGGTGAAAGCAGATCTATCAGGAATTCAAGTAACCAGCTGATCATAGGCACACCCCCTCTCACTGCAGGCTTCTCTCCCATTAGGTGGTAGACTGCCCAGTGTTCCAGACTTCCCATCATCAGGGACTTCTTCCAGCTGTTCACACACTCCTTGCCAGACTGAAGCTTCAGCCACTGCCCCAGATCTGCATCTCTGGCAGATGCTGTCAACGCTTTGTGGTTAATGCTGTCCTTACTCTTAGGTTGGGAAATGTTGCCCTTCAAAGCTCAGGATGTGCAGAATGGTACAAAGGAGGCAATGCAGCTACTCCCATCACTCACTCAGGCTTTCTAATGGATTCAGGGAACAACTAATTCACACTCATATCAAATATTAAAGAGGCAAACCTATATTCACATTTCAGGCTGACTGCTGCTCCTACTCTTTTGGACCATCTGCCTGCCTTTTATTTCATTCTACAACATATACATTAAATCTTATCAAACAGCCAATTAAGGAAGCAATCAGATCTATTAGCACTAGAAGCAATCAGTTATGGTTTCTCAAATGCTCCATCTCGTTTCCATCAGCCTCCTCAGCCTTATCTAGGTCTAGCTTTTTATCTGCCCGCTCTCCAGGTTCACTAAGTCCTCCTCTGCCAGGCACAGCTCTCTGGCTCCTGGCTGGACACAAAACATCTCTTCAGCAGGTCTGCTGTGCTCTCCAGCACAGTGTGTGTGTTTTCCCTGATTACACTGTGCCAGCAGAGCCGATTTCTGTGTTCTCCAACTTCATGTTGATGATGTTGGCTCTCCTAACTACACAGCAAGCCACCTTGGCTCTTGTGGGAGGATTTTTCAAACACCACTTACTGGAGGAACTGCAATAAGCCAAGATGACTGAAACCAGCAATGATATCCAGCTGTGGACCAAGCTGCACAGGTCCTCCTGTGCTCTGCAGCTGTTTGGCTGGCTCCAGTCATTTGGGAGAGCTGCAGTGATACCTGTAGGCTGGCATAGTTGCCCAGAGCTGCCTGCTGGGCTGCAGTTACTTGTGTGATGCAAGCACTGACAAAGGAGAAACTTAAGAGCAAGCAAATTCTGTGCTGAGCCTCCCAAAGGGGGGCACTTTGGGCCACAAATACCATTTCTGCCCTGTAGCAGGCTCAACAGAGCAACACTTACTTCCTTCTCACGTTGAGCGTTCTCCAAGAGGAAAAACCAAAATTCCTGCACATCACCACAGCCAGCTGTAAGTGGACTGAGAGAAACTGTTCCCACTTGCATCCCTTACCTTCACTGGTCACACAAACTTCCCATCCAGCAGGAGCACAGGACATGCTGTGTGCTGGGAAGCAAGCAAGGCACGAGCATCTCTCTGCTGGCCTCTTTCACAGCAGAGGACAGTTGTGCTACAGTTTGTACTTCTGATGGCACATTCGAAGTTAATTAAGTAAGATGAGATTTCGGGGAGCTGAGTGGCCTTTCTCACAGAAGATTTCATCTGAAAGTCTTCAATAAAGAGCCTGAATTTTTCATGGATTCAATGGAGACTTATAAAGTAAATCTCAACTCAAGTCTTAATTATAAAGCTAAAGGTTGCGCTGCTAATAATGCCAATACAGAAGCCTGCAATCATTAATAGTTAACACACTCGCCGCAGGCGTTGTTCCTCTAAAGGACCTGAAATATTGATAAGCAGAGCTGACGGAGCTGGGAGGAGATGGCATGCAGCCCCGCAATGGGACAGCTGGAAGACAGGGACACTGCCAATGAACTTTCTCTTCTACCATTCAAGAGCAACCTTTCCCAAGCTGTGTGTGCCAGATTTGATGTGGGATTATTTTGGCTTTCTATCAAGCATAAAGGCCACAAGAAATGCAACATGTTATTTTGCTTTTTAAAGTGGTGAAGGAAACAGTGAATGAAAGTTTGATGTATTGGTGCCATCAGCCTGAATGTTCTGTGAGGACCCAGCTCAGAGCTGTACACATGCTTTAGCCTGTACAGAAAACAGCCCCAGCCAATGGAATTAAGCCCTTCTAATTAGAGAGATGCTGTTTTTCTTGCATTAACTTTACTGTAACATCTGTTATACAAGATAAAAAGATTAACCTTCCTGATTCATTTTTGCTACAAAGAAAGCACTCATGTCACTTCAGTAATATTGAGATGCTCCATAGGATGTCAACTAATCAAAGAAATTCTGATCTATAGAAATAGATTATATGCTTGTCAATAACCTGAGTTTCCCTGAAATAATGAGAAGTTGAAACAAATTCATAACAGACAAAAAGGCTCAGCTAGGAAGAGCCCGGACTGTACAGAGAAATCTAATGTCAAGCAGGACATTGCCATTTCCACATTTTTAATTTTATTTCCACCCCTGCACACAGACAGCTCAGCCCAAGCAGCCTAGCTGCCTGCTGCACGATGCCAGACTGCAGTGTTCAGCCATGCCCTGAGCCCCAAGTCCACTCACAGTCAGCGAGAGAGCCAAAAGGATCAGGACAGAGCACAGGGCATGGACTGCCTGAATGAGGGGCAGCTCGGCCAGGGAGCAGTGGGGGAATGGGGCCACGCTCCCCCTGCTGCCTACCTGTGATACCGTGATGCTGCACTTCTTTGCCAGCTCTTCTTTGGCTTCTTCACTGGGATAAGGGTTACTGAGGTGGGAGTAAAAATACTCATTCAATATTTCTGTGGCTTGTTTACTGAAATTGCGTCTTTTCCTTCTGAAATGAGAAAAGAAAACAACGGCTGTTCCAACACCAACAGAGCTCCAGCAGGGCAGCACACAGCCACCTCCACACCCCCAGTTCTACCATCACCGTGCTGAGGGCTGCAGCTCTGACCCTTCGGGGTCTGACTGCTGCCTCCAACGTCACCCAGCCTGCACGGGGCTCCTCCCAGAGAGGCACAGACAACTCCCACACAACACATGTTGAGACCTGGGGCGGCAGCAGAGCAGGAAATGAGGCAAGAGCAGACATGGAGTCAGCCAGCACCCAGCCTCAGCCCAAACGAGTACATTGCCTGCTCCACAACTACATCTCCACAGCTGACAACAGCATCACCGAGCCCCTTCCCTTCACCTGTTCAATCAGGGCTCCCACACGGGGCTACTGGGGTGGGCACAGCAGGGCTGCCTCCATGCCACATCCTCATCCAGCACTCAGGGACCAACTACACGCACACTGCTGCGGGCAGTGCAGGCCCTGGCGCAGGCTGAGGCACTCCCTGAGGTGCAGGCCATGGCCTGCCCACCCTGAGGACCAAGGCAGCAAACCCGCACAGCTGTTCTCTTCCACGCTGGGACATGCTGCTCGCCACCCTGGGAGCTCCTCACAGGATCTCCAGTTAGACGTTCTGTCAGAGCTCCTTTCCCTCCAGGCTGGTTGCAATCACAGGCAGTGCTGCAGGCCAGCAGGCAGCCTAGCAGCAATCCCCAGCGCTCTCTTCCAGGAGTATCACAGTGCTGCTAACGATGCCGTATCCTGGAGCAGGCAGACTCTCCCTAGAGCTGCATTTATCTCATTACTGTGCTTCCGCTCATTTTGCCTTATTTACCTTCCTCCTTTTTAAAGAAATCACTTTAAAATGTGCATCTGCAAGCTTTACCTTTTGCAGTTACTAGAGCTCTCCACAGACATTTCCTCCAACTGTTCGTAATTATCCTAATTTGCCACACCTGCCAGTGACCTCCTTGTTAATAAAATTATTTTGCTCTTGTTTAGCTCCTCACAGCTTTCAGGTGTGAAGCAGGCACTGGCTGATAACTGCAGGCTCCACACAGGTTCTCCCTGTACTGTGGGGCTCAGCCAGCTGTCAGGCTCCTGCAGCAGGGACAGTGCTGGAGCAGCATCCCAAATTCTTGGGGGCACCCCAGCAAATTAGGCTGTTAGCCCCTCTTTCGCCACCACCTACCCTACTCATGTGACAGCTTGTTGGGACAGGGGCCAGCAGATCTGGTCTTTGGAATTATCAACACCTTTCTTACCTCAGGTGCAGGCAGCTGCTAACTCAGAGCCAGCCTCAGGCTGTGACATGTTGCTCCTGGGTAACCAGGCTGTGCTGCGGGACCGGTTATGGCCCTATGCTGCAAAAAGCTGGTACCTGCAGCCATTTAAATTAACTGCAGTGATGGAACAGTGCTCAGCAAAAACACTGCCAGCAGCAGCCCCTCCATCCCAGAAAAGCCGGGGCAGTCATCTCAGCCTTACCTGGCATCAAGGAACCTCGACCTTAAAATCATGACTGCTTCACAAGTACTTTGCTTCAGCTGCATCTGAATGGAGCTGAATTTTCGATGAATGATGCCCACCATCCTTTCAATCTCCTTAGGAGAAATGGGACGCGTTCGGCTCTGTTCTCTGAGCAGGTTCATCACGTGTGTGGTAAATTCATTACATGCCTGCAAAGGAAGGAAGGGGAGGCTTAGAAATTGCTTTGTGCCACCCAACAAGCATGAGAAGCCTCACGCAGCCCCATCCCCACACACAGCCATGGGAGCAGATTGCATGCAGCCGGCAGCAGCCAGCACTGGCGTGGTTCCTCCTTGCTCTTATTCCTTCCCATCCATGAAGGAGCAGTACCCAGTGCACAGCCAGTCAATGGGATGTGGGATCTGGAAGGCTGATCCTTCAGTAAGTGGTTGGGGGCAGGATGTTCTGAGCAGTGCCAGCACGTGCTCAGATGCATGAGCAGAATCTGTCGGCAGCCAGCACTTCCAGGGGTGTGCTGAATGCACACAGGAGGGTTTAACTCCCTGCAGAAGGTAGGGAGTTTAAACCCACTGGAGCAGTCCCATGCAGCCCCCTCCCGCACGTGGCGTCACAGCCTGGCTGTGCCCAGCCTGGCCTCACAGCGCAGGCAGGCACTGGGGAGGGGAGGCTGTAGCAGCCATCCATCACTAGCCCCAGACTATGCGGGCGAAAGGACACGATGATATAAACTTCTGCAGGCTGCATCATCACTAGGCTCTGCTGATCTGAGCCTCTGCGTGACCAAGTGGCTGTCATGCTGGCATCCCAGCTTCCCCCCACGCAGGCTGCAAGCTGCCACAAACTATGCTGATTTATGTCTCCTTTATCTCTTTCAAAAACAAACCCTGGGCCTGCTGCCTGCCTCGAGTGTGGCAGTGCAGCTCCAGGTTTGCTGGAACAGAGTTGGAGCACAGTGGGAACCAGGCCAAGGGCAAACTGCACTCAGCCCCAGAGGCACTCCTCAGAGGCCAAGGGGGGCAACACAGCAGCACACACAAGAAGCCCTCCTTGTGCACTGCAGCGCTGCAGTCACTTCCAAACAAGGCTGAAGGACTTCACTCTGTGCATCCAGCGTACAATCAGACCATGTGTATTAGGTATCAACCTGATTCCAGCTCAGCTTTTTCTCCTAAAGCCAAGGTTAAAAATAGCATTACAATCTCTAGTGGTTGGCAAATCTGCCCATGACAGGAGGGTTGGAGCTCTATGATCTTTAAGGTCCTTTCCAACCTAAGCCATTCTATCATTCTATGATCTGTCTTACAAGTACATGTTCAGCATTTCAATAGCTGGTGTGAGAGAAAGAGTTAAAAGTGGAAAGTTTATGCATCTAAAAACTCATAATTTCCTATAACATTTGCTGAACGTCTCACAACTTATTAAGTGAAGCCATCTATGAATGCAAATGCTGATTAGCAATTTGGCAATAGCCCAACATTCGCAGAATTCACATAGCTTTTCTTTAAACCAGTAGTTCATACATGATTAATTAGAACATCTCATTTATGTAGTGTGCACTTTAGCTCATTACTCTAAGTAAAATTCGTTAAGTATTTACATTTAGATAATTAAAATCTGGGTACACCCTTAAGAAAGATGCATACACTTCAGGCAAAGTGATTTTTTTTCTTTACACTACTGAAAGCAAATTACAGGCTGATTTACCTCCCCGCCACACCGCTGGGAGGCAGCGCCTGGCTGGGGGCAGTGCGGGCGTCCCACCACGGCAGCACAGAGCGCTGGGTGCTGCAGCCACAGTGCCCCAGGCTTCCACCACAACCTGAACTCCAGGTGCAGGTATCTGACCTGCCTGATCCGCATCTGCCATTTGTGGATTTTTCCTCCTTTCTCACTGGATGCTTAATGCTACCCGAGGTGCCACAGGGAGCCCACTCCCGGTGCCCGCTGTCCTCACTCATGCCAAAAACAAGGAGTCTGTCCCAACCCCCGCGTGCCTGGCACAGAGCAAGGGCTGCTCCAGGTGCCCTCCTTGTCCCCATCCCACTGCAGGTCTGTCCTGCACAAAGGCAGAGCTGACACGTGGCACTGCAGCTCTGACACGGGGAGCCATCGGCCCCTGCTGCATGCTGGCCGATCTCTGCTTCGGCCATTTGACCACTGACAAAAAGACCAGCTTTGGTCATCTGGTCAGCAATGCACAGAGCTGAAGGACGCAGCAGCGTGCAGTTATGGCGTTCTTGAGGTGTGGGGGGCTCAGGCTGCTTAGGCAGTACTGCTGAATCGAAGTCTCTGGCACTGGAGAAACGCTTAAGGCATGCAGCTCATCACATGGCTGCTATTTGTGGGTCCAGGGAATTCATTTTCAAACTACTTTTCAAATGGTAACTGTTACTTAGGAGTGCTTTCAAGCATTTCTATTCTATGAAAAGTATTTCTCCATAGATATTAAAAATTGACTGTTTTGAAGCTGAAAAAGCAAAAATCTCTTCCTGAATTTACTTAAATTGCTGGACAAGCCTTCGTTTGGTTACATCTGTGCAAAGGGCCTGCTTTTATTTTCTTTCTCCAGCATCTCCCAGCTGTGATGTTCCCGTAGCATAGCTGAGTGGAAGCACGTTCAGACACTGCCGATGCTCTGTCTTGTTTTCTCTTGTTTATTTATAACGTCCGAGCTACTTGATCCCTCTTTCAGTGCTATTTTTCAGGCCCCTGCTTGGTGCCTGAGACATTATTAATAATGTCAGGTTATAAGTGATGGCCTTGTTAACCTGCTCAGAAACCTTGTAGGAGTGGAGGATGCTTCTGCGAGCCTTAACGCTTCATCAAGGCAAGCAAGAGGAAAAGAGAAGGAATAGCCCCAGACAATCTGCAGCCACACAGTGCCACAGCACTTGGGGGGTGGTGGTAGTGTCTTCCCAGCAGCCACACTTCACCCCAATTTGGGGTGAATCCAGAAGACATCTGTGAACTCAGAAAGCAGGTTTCCAGCTGTTCCAGGAGGCCTGGGACCCTTACAGTACTTTTGCCTACAGCAAAAAAATGTATTTCAGTGTAATTATAGAAGATAGCTTTCAATATGTCATCTCTATTATAGCAGCTGTAAATTATGGAAGGAGCTGCCTGTGTACGACCATCTCTCCTGGCACACAGCGAGGGGAGAGCTGCGCGATGGCATGACACACTTTCCATTTTCCTTCCTTTTTTTTCCAAGCACATTCCCCTAGCTGGCAACAAATGTCAGCGTCAAACTCCATCTGCAGAGCATCTTCAGGAAGGACTCGGTGTGGGCTGTGCAGGAGAGCTCTGTGGGAGCTGCCCTGCTGGGTGCGGGGTGGCCCTGCTCTGTGGCAGCAGCCCAGCTGCGGGCGCACAGCGACGCTGAGCCCCAGCCCTCCACTACTGAGACAGGCGCTGCTCTGAGACAGGCGAGCAGAAGAGACAGTTTGCTGCAGGGCTGGGAAATTACCATATTTCTGTAGAGAAGACGCTGCTGGGTGTCAGGATCAACGGAGGAAGTGTACATGTTTCAGGGCAGCTTCACCTCTCTCTCTCTCCTAGCAGCACTTGAGCATCTTCCAAAGTTCCCCGTGGTGTGGATGGATGGCTGTGACACTTCAGTCGAAACCTTTGTAAATTGAGCAACGGGGCTAAAAATGCTACTGCTTCCCCCACATCATTAAACTTATTAGAGGTAAAGGAGATGTGCCAGGAAACAGCTGTAAGCATCGACCTGCATTTGCTTCAGCCCCAGATCTGTTTCCAGCCCATGTCCTCGTGGTTGCAGCAGACACTCCTGCTGGAAGGCACTCATTCGTCTGGTGGCCATCCTCACGTCAGGCTGCAGGCTGTCCACTGGCCACCACTGTGTGAGAGCTCAAGGGGCACCGAAGACACCAGTGTCTTTGGGGTGGAATGGGGTCACTTGAAGGAGGAAAGATTGGGACAGAAGCACCTGGTCCTGCCCAGCAAAAGGGGGAAGCTGTGGGAAGGCAGCCAGGGTCTCATGGCACATGGCTTTCTGCTCACGCAGCTCAAAGAGGTTTTATTGCCACTCCTCATCTTGTTTGTGGTTTGGGCCTGTTCACAGCGACACTGTGCTGTGACAGGCAGGGGCAAGGACAGGGCTTCCCTGCTCAGGAAACCACTGAGCTGGTGGGCTCATGGCTTGCCAACTTTGTCAGGACACCTCTGGGAGCAGAAAACAAAGGCACCACCAGGAGCTTGCAAGGGTTAAATGTCTCACAGAGCCACACTTCCCATTCCCTGTGCTCCAATGTAGTTGTTCACTGAGAAACCAGAGCCTCACCACCCCTGCGGGTGGCCAGCGGCACACACACAGCACACACTGCACCCAGCCCCGCAGCCATGCTGTGTCTCCTGAGCCACCCGGGGGCACACACAGCCTGTTCCATCCAGGGCTGGCTCCACAAGAGGGAATACTGGCTCCAGTGCTACTTTATGTGGTTACAGACAACAGAGAACACTTGGGCATGCAAACATGTGCCCTGCAGCCCTCATAGGCAGCACAGGCAGCCAGAACAGGGAGAGCCACCGGAGCCCTGGGCGCCAGCCACTGGCAAGCGGAGGTGCAAGGGCAGCAGTGGGGACACAAACAACTGAGAGGCTGATGTCTGACCTGTTCATATTTCTCCAGCTCTGTGTGATAGATTTGTCTGATCTGGGTCAATTTGGCTCTGTAATCTGAGTGTTCAATAGAGTTATCTGAAGACCCTCCAGAGGCTGCTGCGGCTGCAGCTGCTGCCGCCGATCCCCCACCTTTCTCCGGACCTGAGACTCCTTCTGCCAGAAGCATATTGTCTAGTCTCATTAGCTGGGGATCGGGAGGGTCTTCCTCCTGGGCTCCTCGGATGCTCAAACCTTGGGCAGAAAAAAGAGAAGAGAAAACACCATCAGTACTTCTTGCATCCGCCTTGCCCTGCCCGCTCCCTCACCCTGCCCAGCCTTGTCCTCGTGGGAGCACTCACAGAGTGCAGCACAGACCAACCCCGTGGGCTCCTGGCATCCTACAAAACCCCACCAGTTCCCATGAGGAACCAGAGTGTCTTCCTCCAGCTTTTAAAGGACCCTGCCGAATATTTAAACACTTCATTGTAAGTATAAAGAGTATCCACATGAGTACAGACGCATACACCTTCCAACTGTTTTCCAAGGTGTATCTCAGTCGACACAAAGCTGCTATTATCCCCATACATAACACTGCTTTGACGCAGGACCACACAATAAATTTAAGTGCATTATTTATTCTGAAGTACAAATTTTCTTCTCATTTCCTTCCAAATGGATCTGAGCACAGCACTTCCCCTCCAACTGAGACTTGCCCAACTGGATTCTGCTCCTGCAAGTCCAAATGCTGGCACAAAGGGCCAAGGAAAGGTCTGCTGCTTCAACCCCAGTGGCTCAGGAAGAGCTGTGGATCTGCTGGCACCAGGCGCACGTCTGCAGTGGTCTCTGGCTCCACACAGGCGCTCAGTGCTGAAAGCTCCCAAAGGAAAGGGGAAATGGGGCAGAATCGAGGCAATAGCCCAGAAACAGCCACATGGGAAACAGTGTTAACAGTGTTGAGGAGGCGGCAGCAGGCACAGGACAGCACAACGTGGCACAGGGCAGGAACGGGGCTTGAGCTGCCCTGTACAGAACAGGGAACAAGCTGCTATCACCGCTGGGGCACTGAGTGTGTTTGGAACCACCAGTGTTCCTCCACTGCGTTGTTGGAAACAATACTCTAAATCTAATTTCTGTTTTATATCAAGAATTTCCAAAGTGATGCTCAGTCAGCATTCTCTTCTGCATCCTATAGATCAAGGCTGACAATGTGTAAGTTTAATCAGGTCATGCAGGCACAGTGCCAAGCTGTCATCAACAATGCCGAAAACAAAGTTTAAAAATAATTACACTTGTACAAAAATCACTAGAGCTGTGGCTTCCCGAATCAACATTTCCATTAAAGATGTGATGCAGACCTGTACATCCCAGCCCAATTAACCTCCTCACACCCATGCAGGACGCTGCCGTGCTCCTTTCACAGGTCCTGGGGCCCGGCAGCCCCCCCACTGCAGCACCTGTGCCTGGCAGCTCGGATGGGCAGCACCACCGCAGCCCCGCTCAGGGACAGCCACGCTCCTGCCCAGGCTCTGCCCGGTGTCTGAGCACCCTGCACAGCACAGACCCGTGCGGCCAGCTGCCCAGCCCCAAGAGAGCACAGCATTTACTTTGCGCTAAAATGCACCTTTTAAACCTGTCGCCTTCATTTTAAGCTATAATTCCATACAATTTCAAGAGAATAAAAAACGTCTCATGATCTCCTTAAATTATTTCTGTTGCCTGTTCAGAGGTTCACAGATGCATCACCCAGTGCACCCTGTGCACAGCTCAGACCCGGCCCCGCTGCTCTGCACACAGGAGGCGACACCTGGGCCCCATATCCACTCCTAGGACCTGCTGCCCCTGCTCCATACAGACCAAAAGCTACAAGGCTCTGTCCAGAACAACAGTACCCATTCAAACTTAAATTAATATTGAAAACCAACACTCCTTCTGTAAATTGACAAAGAACAGCGGATGTTCCAAGACTGAAATGCAGAAGATAATATCTGCAGAGGACACTGAAGGAGTCATTGGCCTCAAAGCACAACAGGAAGGAATTCAGCAGATATGGACAATGATGAAGGGACTGCAGCTCTGCTGCGTGTCCCTGGAGCAGGTGATGTGGGTAATGCTGCACTCACCTCGATGCTGAGTGCTGCACTCCTGTGCAGAGCATCCAGCTGGGGGAGCGTGAGCCTGCAGTCAGCCGCAGACAGAGATGACACAGTGCATGTGTGGGGATGCAACGTTTGTTCTGCCCCTGAGTGAGCCACGCTGCTCACTGGAATGGCAAAGCTGTAAGTTGATTAACTGGTTCCAACAGGCATTAAGCTGTGCATTAATTCCAAGCTTTCCCCATGAACACAGTGCAGCTCAGCACAGCCAAGAGTGGGTGCAGCCATGCACAGCTCCTGCAGCCATGCACAGCTCTGTGCACCCACACACAGCTCCTGCAGCCATGCACAGCTCTGTGCACCCACACACAGCTCCTGCAGCCATGCACAGATCTGTGCACCCACACACAGCTCCTGCAGCCATGCTCCCTGCGTCTCGCATGCCCACAGCCTCAGCTCCATGTCCTGGTGCTGCCTGAACAGTCAGAGCATCTCCGGGCTCTGTGCAGCAGGGAAGGCTCTCTCTGGTTGCTAGCAACACACTTGCTTCTACCAGCACCTGCCTTTATAAATTACTCTTCGTTTGAATACGGTGATAATATATGTATTTTTTGACATATAAGCTCACACTCAGTGGCTATTGTTTCCCTGTTTCATTCCTCAGTATATCAACCTACGAGTTTATTACTGCTTAGCTCAATGACCTTTCAATGCATGGCGGAATGGAGGTGCAGCACAGACTCCGAGAACACAACAATACATCACTTCCAGGAGAGCTGTGCTAATGGCAGCAGAAGCACGACGTCCCACACCAGGCGCAGCCACAGCAACCAGGCAGGTCGCACAGTGCTCCAGGGCCCTCGGCCGTCCGGACAGCTCTGGGGACCATGGTGTTTAACATGGGAGTATCCTTGGTAACTATGGTGCATTATAAGTTAATAAAAAGCATATGTGCTCCTGATTTTAATCTGCTTATAACTACAACGTTCATTTCGGTATCTCAATGATTTAGACAAATCACATAAACAGACACTAAAACATTGTTTAACAATGAACTTGGCTTTGTTATAAGACCACAGTTTTAGCATATCTTTCAGCAAATCCTAATTAGCTGTCTCTCAACATGCTGTGCACCTGCCCCCACACATAATAGACGAGAGCATCTGCATAGACTGCTGCATTCAGAGGCCAATAAATAAATTGTGGGTCAAAATTATTACAAAGCTTTCTTCGAATAAACCCATCTCCTTCACAATACAAAGCTGCAGATATGAAAAGTACCTAAAGCCCACTCAAATGGTATGATTACAGGGGCCGTTGGAGTTTAATAATCTGACTGTAATTCAGGCATTTTCAACAGCTCATTAAGGGTTCATTAATATATGGGCAAGCTTTTGAATTATAAATAAGCAGATTAGAAACCTGCAGTGTCTGAACTGTATGGCAGTGCCCTCCCTGGCAGAGCAATTCTGCAAACACGAGCAGCACCCAACCCCTGGGACGTGGGCTGCATCACCAGGCACTGCCTCACCCCACGCCCTCTCCTCTCGGCCACTTCTGTGATGGCCAGGCTGGGAGGAGAGGTGCCCCGTGCTCCACGCAGGCTGGTGGCCATGGAGGGCTCCCTGATCTGCTTCTGGCCCCAGAGCAAAGCCATGCCAAAGCCTCCCTCCAGCTGTCCTCTGCAACCTTTCTGCCCCACTGTCATCCCCATCACCGTCCCACCCCCACCCCCACTCCCATCCCATCCCCATCCATGTCCCCATCCTTCCCCTCATTCCCATCCTGATCATAGAATCGTAGAATCACTTAGGTTAGAAAAGACCTTAAAGATCATCGAGTCCAATCACGACCTCACCATACTACCCTACCTCTAACAACCCTCCGCTAAACCGTGTCCCTGAGCACCACATCCAAATGGTTTTTAAACACATCCGGGGATGGTGACTTAACCGCCATTCCAGGGCTCCATCTCCATCCCTGTCCCCACGCCCACACTCGCTGCCTCACCATGAGCACCCACCTCAGGGTCCAACCTCCGCCACGGGTGCTGCCAGCCTCCGGCACGCGCCGAGGGGAGGTGGGGACCCCGAGGGGCTCCGACACGCACGGGCAGCGAGGTGCCGGGCGGCTGCCACCGCTGTGTTCCGCCCGCTCGGATGAAGCCCCTGTGCTGGCCCGGCCGGCCCCACAGCTGCAGCCCCTGCTAATGTCACTTCACTCCTGCTTAAGGTGACTGTGTGGTGCGCGCACGTTTTTCATGTCAGGTATATTAAATATAACACGACGATGCACTGCACATTTCCACGCCAACCTAGTTGTCACTTTCGCTTGACTCATTCTCTATTGAGGAAAAATGCAGCACTGGGAATTTACAAGGCTTTTCAGTTAAATGGACATAAATCACAGGTTTCATTCAAACCGAATAATCACTGGCCATAAAGAGCTACTTGTCTCTTACCATATATTACAGTGAAGTTCCTGTGAGCAATAATGCAGCCATTCATGGCAAAGAAAAACAGAGCGAGACATTAAGAGCTGACATGTAATCCTGTTAGGAGCCTGACGTGGAGAGTGCGCCTGACATTTTTATCATATATGTCCATTTCTATTTGGAAAATCAGAAGAATAAAAATGATTACTCCGCTGCCCAAACTCACCTTCCTAAAACAGCCCGGCGAGATTTGTTTACATGCCGGGAAACTGCTTACTACGAATTCATAAATCTCCGATTCTGAAGCATTTCCCCTGATGTTTGAATTGAAGATACGACTGGAAAGATTCCCTGTAATGCTCTTCCACACCTCCATTTCCTTCACTACCAACACATAAACTGTCAATCGTTGCCTTTATTACATTCCCCTTCATTATAAGGCTGCTGGCAGGATGCCTGTTTCTAACCCAACTTTCTTTCTCACCCGTGAAAAAAATCGGTGGATGACCTTTGCTAAAGGTTCAATAAAAAGCAGGGTGGATGCTAATAAAAAATCACTAGTGTCTTTTGTCTCTATGCAGGACTCAGACATCAGAGCGAGGCACGCTGGATTTATGGAGGTCTTGTGCTTCTCTTACAGGCACTGGGAAAAGTTAAAAGGAGATTTATTAGTGTGCCCCCAAAAAATCTATTAAAAACAAAGCGACTTATGTGAAGCCTTATTC